TATATATAAATGTATACGTATACGTAAATATATATATTACTTTATTTCAATTTAATTTACTTGTAGGTACGACAGACAGCTCTGGCAATGGGATTACAATTCATGGTGACGACACTTTGGGCTTGCACACTACACGGTCGCAGCGAAGCTCCATGGGCCCAGGTATGCGTTTATCCATTGGCCGAGAGTTTAAATAGCTGTAGTATGCGTGCATCTGATTGGTGGAAAGTTAAATATATCTTATATTGTAGTCTCCCCATTGAAGAATTGCCGTTTGAGCGACAGACACCTTTTACCACCTAGTGAAAGCACATGCCACAGGCTGATGGTTTAGTTCATACCAACTTTACTGTTTTACCCTAAACCCTAAATCCTAAACCCCTAACCCTATACCAATGGGGCCGCATGGCACTCTGACCATTTTACTGACGGTGGGTGAGCGCATATATTCTGTAGGCCAAGAGGAGAACCTAATTTTCCCCTACATCTACAAATCAGAGGAATTGGTCATGTACGTCCTCGTATACACATGCGAATAGCGAATATAAACGGGAAGCAATCACACCAATTTCAGAAGACGGTTGGTCCCTTTTATCACCACAGCAGGTGCATGTCAATGCACCTCTTACAAAGTCTGGTTGGACTGACCTGCACACAGCCGAGAAATGGGTAGTGTCCGCACACACGTACAATAGTGTTTATATATAACCGCCTACTATAAAAGACGTCCACTTTATCAGCTTGTTATGCGTGTATGACGATGTGTGTACACCCGCACATACAGCCAACCACTGCAGGTTGCGTTAACGATACATACATGTGGAGATGTGAGTGATAGAAGGTGTGCACATACATGAGAAGGTCTCACAAGTCGACTCGTTATATATGCCTACATGCTGTATACATAACTACCGCTAGTATCCCAAACCTCGTACACTCTATGTGACTCTGCTACACTAACCTACATCGAGATATACACTGACCTACATCGAGATATACACTAACCAACATCGAGATATACTAAACTCTAAAAACCCAACCTACATCCACACGTGGTATACAGACGACGATATATCGGAGCGCAAGGTGCACCAGGGGCGGTCCAAATTCGCAACTATAGGACAGTCCCCGACGAAAGGACTGTCACGCGCGTTATCCAGTGCCACAGTGGTGGAAAGGTGGGTGTTCTATAAATAGACCATGCCCTTATATGGAAGGATGCATGACTTATTTGGAATGGTTCAGTGCGTGTAGTGGCATACGCGCAGTTTCATCACGTGGCTTGGAGTCCCATCATCTACTTGTCTAGGCCCGAATCGAAAACCCCGTCTGTTGGGTTTTAGGTTTACTAACTCTATCCCTATGCTGAAACAAGCTTACGTGAACGGTCGATTCGGTACCTATAGCGCTAGTCCGTTCTCCCCTCATATTTTTCCATTAACATTGCCTATTTTCTCATCAACATGGCCTGTTTTCTCACCGATATCGCTTATTTCCTCACCAAAACTGCCTATTTTCTCATCAACATTGCTTATTTTCTCACCGCCAGTGCCCTGCAGAAGGCGCCTGCAACTCCCAGAGTACAAACGCTCAAACGTTCCTCTGGCAGCTCAGGGGCCATCAACTCGTCGTATGTTCTGTTGCGCAGTTTGTTTGGTCAGGCTGTTGTGTCGTCTCAATTTACGATGAACGCGTTCACAGCTGTCTCTCTATTCTCATACAGAGTGTTGTGTTTATGTGTGTCTATACACCGCTGTATTCATGTCTTTATGTATGCGTTTAGTTTTGTCTACATATGTACACGTTTGTCTTGTGTCGTGTTGTGTAAACGTTTACTGTATATATATATATATGTATATATATATATATATTATTTCCCTTTCTCGTTATTCGCCTATTCTCGCCCGTCTCTCAGTGTATCATATTCTCTTGGTCTCTGTATCACCACGCAGTGTCTTGATCTCAGGGCCATTATCTCGTAGTCAATCGACAACCGGTATTTTGTCTAAGCCAAAGCGTACCACAACCAGGCCATACAGTGGAACTCCTAGTAAACCATCAGTGGTTACAAATATCTACTCAGGAATCTCAGAAACAGGTGGGTGTATGATGTGCACTCAGCACAAGCACGCACGTATATGCATGTAAACATCTATATATATATAT